TGAACTCGTCTCAGGGGTCTCTCGTTGGCTTCGGTCCGCTGGGTGGCGCCCCCCTCAGGGCCGGAGGGCGTGTTTCGGCCGGCTCGGGCGGCTCCAGCATGTCGGGCGGTTTGCGTCTGAGTCACTCGGGCGGCCTGACGACGGATTCACTGTCCCAGCAGCAGCAGCAGCAGGCGGCCGCCATGCACGTGCCTCTGTCCTTCCAGAACCCTCTGTTCCACCTGGCGTCCGACGGGCCGCAGTACCACACCGCCGCTCCTCCGCCGCTGCTGCTGGCGCCCGAGCCGGAGAACGGACACGTGGGATTCGGCGTGCCGTCGTTCGCTCACAGCGGCTTCTCCCGCAGCGAGGACCTGTCGGCCCTGAGGACGCAGAACAGCCTGGTGCAGCCCAACATCGTGCACTCGCACAGCTACAGCGACGACTTCACGCGCCACAACCAGGCCGACTACGCCCGCAGACAGCTCTCGCTGCAGGTGCAGGTGATCCACACACACATACACTTTTACTGGGCTACCTTTTTTAAGACAAAGAGCAATAGAATTTTTTTTTTTAATTTAACCGCTGAGACAAACAACAAATATTTTTTGTTTTAACAATCAAACACAAAATAAAAATTAAATATCTAATTTATAATGTTTTATATGCAGATTAAATATGACCCTGCAGCACAAAAGCAGTGTTAAGTCGCTGGGGTATATTTGTAGCAATAGCCAACAATACATTGTATGGGTCAAAATTATCCATTTTTCTTTTATGCCAAAAATCATTAGGATATTAAGTAAAGATCATGTTCCATGAAGATATTTTGTAAGTTTCCTATCCTAAATATATCAAAACTTAATTTTTGATTAGTAATATGCATTGCTAAGAACTTCATTTGAACAACTTTAAAGATTATTTTCTCAATATTTCGATTTTTTTGCACCCTCAGATTCCAGATTTTCAGCCAAATATTGTTCTATCCTAACAAACCATACATCAATGGAGAGCTTATTTATTCAGCTTTCAGATGATGCATAAATCTCAATTT